TTTTTTTAAAAAAAAGGTATTTTGCTATTAGCTTTGTATTCTCTTTGATTTTCTTTAATGTGTTCTCATTTGAATCTACTACAGGTACCTGAGGTTTTATTTCAAGCTTTTTTTTAAAAAAATGTTTTCTTCGTGTTCTTACTTGAATTCATTATAGGAACCAGAATGCCTTGAATTGTGAAAAAAAATGGTTAGTTTAGTTAAAAAATTTGAATGTGCTGAGAAAATATGCCACAGAGTAGAGCATCAACCTGAACGTGTAATTTGCTAGTACCAATACATGCTAACCTAATCCCTAACATGTGTCACATGTTTTGCTAACCCTATATGTATCACGTGTTGTGTATTATTGCATGTGTTGATCACAGTATTTAAATGGTATTACTGGTATTTTTTTTCTAACTCTAACTATGCCAGCAATTTCAAAACTTCCCAGAACACCAACTGAATACAAGGATATAGTTGATTATCTTAAATCAAAAAAAATACCTGAAACCATTCATGATCCTGTGGCAAAACATAGATTTGAGGGTCGTTGTAAAAAATTTGAACTAGACGAAAATGAGATTCTTTATCTTTCTGCGGTTTTTAAAAAAGATGAAATGGTATCAAATAGATGGCGTGTAATTCCTAAATATGATGTAGAGTTGCGTGTTTTATTACTAAAAAATTTTCATAACTAGTCAAATCATCGAAATTACCATAAAACATTTTCTGCTCTTTCTGAAAAACATATTGGTGTTACACAAACTAAGGTTCAGGCTTATGTTAACGAATGTTCAGTTTGTGCTATTAATACTTCTATTAAAGAACGAACTGATATGAAATCGGTTACGTCTGTGGCACCTTGGCGGCATATTCAAATTGATTTAATTGATTTTCATGATTTTAAAAATATGAATCACGGGTTTGCATAGTTACTCATATGTATTTATACGTTTTCAAAATACCTTGTTGCAATCCCTATGAAAAACAAAGAAGCAGATACAGTTGGTGTACATTTAGTTAAGGACGTCTTTAGAATTCTCAGTCCACCATTAGTTTTACAAAGTGATAACGGAAAAGAGTTTGAAGGAATTGTTAAGCAAGTTTGTGAAACTCTTAATATCAGAATTAAATATAGCCGCCCTTGTCACCCTCAGTCCCAAGAACAGGTAGAACGACTTAACCAAACAATTGGTTGAAGTTTCACAAAATTGCTGTGGGATCATAATAATCAGCTTCAAAAAAAAGATTTGATTTATGTATTAGATGCTTTCATAATGTCTTATAATTCAACTATACATACTGCACACATTGTACACCTTATGAAGTTATGTTTGGTTGGAAAATGCATTGTGTCTATGAAACACTGGATAATGATTAAAATAATGAAATAAATAATTACGAAGTATTAGATAATGATCAGAATAACGAAATGAATATTTATGAAGCACAAGATAATGATTACGATAATGATTACGATAATAAAATAAATTATAGAACACCAAATAATAGTCAGGATAACGAAATGAGTGAAGAATCAAATGGAGATGCTTTAGAAACATTTAATCCTAATAACGCTATAGAAAAACATGTTTTACGAGTATTAAAAATTCATGAAGTTAGCTTTAGAGCAAGCAGTATAACACTGAATGTAAATTTTTAATATTTTTTTTTTTTTTTTTTTTTTTTTTTTTTTTTAGTCAGTAAATGCTATGCTAGAAAAATACTATACAAAAATGTGTCAACAAGGAAGTGTTCATAGAAAAAAAATAGCAAATAATACAATTAAGGCCAGAACCATAGTTAATATTGTACCAGTTCATGACAACAACCCACAAACCTGAAAGAAAAAATTACAGCCAACGTTTTCACAACAAGGCACCTTCGTAAGACTTGCTGCAAATAATCACATAGCGATAGTTGAGATTGATGGAAAGGAAACACCTGTTCCAATTAAACGGATCAAAGTTATAAAATCATAAATTTTTTTTTTTTTTTTTAAGAAAGATTTTAAATTTTTTTTTTTTTTTTTTTAAG